GTTGCACAATATTTATCTATGTCACATTTATTTATGTCACTTCCACGCTCTGATTTTTATATTTTCTGGTAATGTTCCTTTTATTTGGTTATGATCGTCTTTTGCAAGCGTTTTATTATGTTTCTGCTTGTAAGGTTATGGCGTACGAACATTCAGATGTACTGTATGTATTCCTTCTTGTCGTAATTGGCTACGTTTTCATCAGAATTTGTACACATTTCTTGATCCCTGATTAAGTTGATGATGCGTTGAAACCGCGGGAACGAATCGTCTGTCAGCACTTCGCGCGCCACGGGACTTCAAGGCCTTTGAAATTACCAACATTATTACAGTTTCTGGAGAGGGCGTGGTGCTAGACGTGATCTGGAGCCGAAATTAGCCCGTGTAGATGCAGGAATATAAAGATTCCGATCACAGCAGTGCGCTGAGAGAGGGCCTGCCGGAATAAAATACATAAAGCCCAGGTTATCGTAATTCTGAGGTAGTTCAAACGTTGATAGAGGGGACTAATACAGCGAGCTACAGATGAATAAAGATGTATGATCCTGATGACAAGAGTAATCTCTGGTAACGTTGGGGCCGTACATATCAAGGTATTCTGTATTTCTGCGAGTGCATGGACTAACAACAATCGTCGATAACTATCATTGATCCTCTGATGCTGTCCTAAATAAAAATTCAAACACACCGGCTTGCGCAGTAATGTAGAAATAATTCTTCGACTAATACTGTACTTGCTGTCAAACACACCACAACAGGAGATATTTTATTGCCAATTTCTTAACTTCCTCCGGTAGAATTATGACAAAAGAGCGACAGTATCCTGACCTAACAAGCCCCGCAGCAGGGGTATATGAAACGGGAACTGCACTTTGGAGCATCTCTTTATTCATGGAGTTCGGAGGGGACCTCTGGCACCGGCGGCACGTCAGTTCTACTGAGCCTCGGGTCGAACTCACGGTCCAATTATCGTGGCGCCCAGCAGCCGAGAGGAATGCCAACAAAACTACATTTCCTAGCAGGGTCAGACCGTTAAGTATGGCTAGGGTAGGCTGCCTGGACCCGTGGCACTTTTCCAGGGCCCCGCACAACGGTAGTTTGTCAATATTGAGTCCGCCATAAACGTACATGTCATCTGTATGACGAATGTAACAGTCAGTGTATATTCACGTTATGTATAGACAGAGGGAGCCAGAGAGAGAGAGAGTTGTTCGTGCAAATGTCATAAAGGAAAATTCTATGACTGAACCGTGTCTCGGAATGCTTACCGTTGTACTTAATTTACGATAATAGATACACACTTAAGAGTACCGAGTCTTGAAAGTCGCCAGCAGCTATAATAAAGATACTCCGAGAGAGACTGATTTAGTACAAACGTCTGCAGATTTGATGGATTTACCGCGCTCTTTTTCAGATGAAGGAATTACCTTGTGAGTGATGGCGCCATGAAGCATTATGCACTTCGCTACAGGCGGGTTGAATTACAAACATGGACGTTATCACTAGTCATCGAAACGGGGACGGGTACTGTACATGTCTTTGTAGAAATCCAAAGGTGATATTCAGACAGGCAGGGCCTGACAATCTTCTTAATATTCCATTTATCATACGAAATCTCAACACTGACGGAACAGCTGGAAGTTAATATGCAGAGCCATGTAGTATCTGGTGTACGGGAGGGATGTCTGTCCTTGGTGCTGAAAATAGCGGTGTTATCACACGGGCCATCCATTTGGATATAGTTACAGGTCTCACCCCAGGGATGCCTTGTTTTATCCCGTAATGTGTCTGAAAACAACATAAATCAACGCTAGAATGTTTGGGCGTGAACGATGTAATCTCCGTGTACACAAACATGCTTACAAAATAAAGATGTAAGAAGAAATTATTACAGAGTAGCATGTTTGTCTCACGCTCAACAGCCTATAACGTATTCAAAATGAAGTGCTGTCTGAAAGCATTCCAACATAAGTGCTCTCTAGGCACCTTTCCACACACTTTAACCAAAACAGATTTGTTTACATCATACGCCAATTGAGAAGATGCAGTATACCAGTAATGCTACTTCTAATGGGTCCCTTGGAAGTTTCAATCAGATTTGCAGCAAACATCAATGTAATTGCACAAAAACTGAGAGAGCCGCCTGGGATCCCTGTGTTTACGCTTACGGGTTAATGGCAACATACGTGTGCTACTTTCCTATCCTATAATTCCGATCAGTGATTGCCTGTGATTCCCCAAAGGCGAGTCAGGACACAGCCGAAATGCTGTTTGGGGAAAATTGCAAGATAATCTTATAATTCGCAGCACACGACTTTTAATGCGGGTTGTCGCAGACGCCTGCGGTGTTTTGATTTAGTGTTTGTGTGAATTCGTTCCCGGGTAATACGTTTCACCTAAAGCAGCTTTATCGAAGACTTTCAGTTTGGTGTATATCTACCTTTTTAGTTGAGAATGCAAAGCAGAAGCCTAAGAGAGGGTTATATATATATAGACGTAGTTCAAAATGCTGGAAAGGTCACAAGGTCTTAGCTGTAATAGAGGTAACCATTTTATCTCCCAGGAAAACGAGAGTTTTATTCATCCCCAAATTGACTTCATGTAATTGCACGGAGAGCATGAAGAGTTTATATTTGAATTGCTGCTAGTTTCTTTCTGATTTGGATTGAAGACGAAGTTATCGAGGTCGACGGGTAATGAGGAAGGTCAAGATGGCGGGCGATTTGATCGCACATGAGGTCAACCCGCATCACCCTGTAACAACCTACATCGGAGGGGAAACAGTGGTGTGTGAAACGAGCCTTGTCCGCCATATTGTTCGAGAAACGGTTCGATTTCTCTTCAGTGTGACGGATGACAGAGAAGGTCGCGGTGGGAAATAACGAAGCTGATATATGACGGGGTCAGGATATTGGGGTCCGTGTTAGGAAGAGGCGATAACAGAAATGTTGACCTGTTCAAGGAGAAATGGTCACACCAGTCAACACGGATCTCTCTAATGGGTAATAAATATATCAGTATCTCCTGCTTCATAAATACCGCTTCGTCCATATGTCATTACCACAATACTGGGATGTAGTGAGATAAAGCTATGGGGGGCACTACACCACATAATCGTACCTTTACTCCCTCCTGCTCCTTTTCAAAACATCTATCCCTTCTCTCATAAATCCCGCCGTAACTAGATGAAAATCTAAACGTCATTACTTAGCTAGTATCCATTACGCATAATCCACTACGTTTGACTGCTTGACAGATCTAAATCCCAATGATGTAAAAGCCTGATCTGTATTCAAGGCCGAAGTTGCCTGAAACAGCTGCTGACTTCTGCAGTATATTTATTTTCCATTTTAAGTACCTAGTACAGAATTAGATGGCTGCATTGTATACATGTAGTTAACTTTTACGTTTAATTCTTCAAAGAAATGTTAGATCCCTAAAACCTGTGAATCGATAAAGCTTTGTGACGCTCACCCAGGAGAGTAGGTAGGTAGCTAATAGCTGAGATATTCCTGCCCGGCGTGAATGCCAAAATTCATGCTTCGCTATACTCCCGGGCTTTTCTAGAATGAGGTAGATCACGTTTTATAATGCCATCTCAGCAACCCTGGTAGTTACCCTGTGGGATCGATGTAGGGTCAGGCTAGGCCAAGGTTGCGGTCTCATAGAGATCTTGAGAGTCGGTAGACTTATTTTTCTTATCATTGACCTTTAAAATGGTGTTACGTACGTGTAATTTGGTGCTGTTACTCGCGACAATGAATATTTTAGTGCTGGAACAGCGATACAGGCACTTCTAATACATAGGCGCTGGAGATAAGTATTGTACGCTTATAGAATGGCAGATTTGTAGTAGAAAAATGTAAAACCTTACAATGATGACTTATTAGGAACATACACAAAACGTAAGGAAACATTATTTTTGACCGGCCGTGGGAGGGGCGGTTATAACAACTTTGCGTGAACATTGGCAAGTCCTCTCTCTGGAAAATAATTGCACTTTCCCTAAGTTACCTTGGCAAAGACATATAGAGAGCTTTACATTTCATTTGTAATGTGCCAGTCCACCGCCTCTGGCAATGCGTTACCCGGGTTCAGGCTGTCCCTCAGCAGTTTTCCCTCTATAATGGTAAGTACAGAGTTGTGTTGAAGCTAAGACTGCACAGCTTGAGGTGATTTTTCTCAAAGTACGTCAGACCCGTCTCATTCATCACTGTCTCCCTCCGCGTCTCCCAGGGGTTTACCGTGTCTGATTTCTGAATACTCAGGACTTAACATGCCGGGGAACGTGCAGGCATCGTCGCACATTTATGAGTGTAACGAATGAACTTTCAAAGTCAGGGTTTACGTGAAATATAAGGATACGTGAGAGACAATTTTCGTTGCAATTTTCTGATAGCCAGAAGAGCACAGAAATGACATATCAGTCTTCCTTATTTATCTACGGTCCACACGATGTCACCCAGTGGTTATTACACTGTCTCTTGGTATCTGTAATGAAAGGAAGCCGAGCGCCGCAAGTGCGGCAAGAACTAAATAGAATTCCACCTCCGTGTTCAACTTCAGCAGATTTTGGCTGGATAAACGAGTTTCCCCGCCAGCACATCCGGGAAGATCGAATTACTCCCAGAACCGGCGGGCACGCCAAATGTTTTACAGGCTTCGTAGATTGCGATTTATTAGTCTTACTGCTGTTTGCATTTGCAGTATTGTTTTTCTTTTTACTTAACCATTGCGGTGATTGGGTACGAGTGGGTTTGCGTAATAGTAAATACACACCTGTTACTCCATGTCATCCTAACTTTCTCAGTTTCACAGCCTTTGGGTTTAAAATGAAAATATTTCAAGCGGCATAGTTGACACTTTGACGAAGTTGGTGTAGCACATTGTTTGCAAACTCCACCGTGTTTGTTGCCTTCTTCGTATTTCTTGATAGCTCTTGAATGTAAATAATGTAAATAATATAATCATAAGTCCTTATGCAACTCTTTTTCTCGCAGTATCCATTAAGAACATGTGCAACAAGACGATAGATGCGACCGACTCGCAGTACATCACGTGGGACGCCAGTGCCGAGGGCGTGGCCACTTCTTACATCTACGGCTACGATGACAACGTGTACTGCACACTGACCCTTCGGTACCCGGGGAGACAATTCTACGTGCAGTACATCCAAGTCAGTATATCTGCTCTTTAGAATTTACTGTAGAGCGTCACAAACAAGGCTAAAAAATCCCAGAGGTTGAGGGTTACTTGGACCTGAATCAGAACCGGGTAAAATATAGAGAGACAAAGAGAAGTCACTCAAGTACTACCTTGTGGAAGTAGATTTACATGTACCAACTTGGTAAATATTTATAGAAACAATATGCTAAGCTTAGTTTTGGTATTACTTTGTTCCATAAGGAAGGTATAGGTTTGTACCCCTAGTAGTCAAGGCTAGAACTGCAGGGGATCATTTTGTTGGAGACTTTAGAAGAGGCTAATTCTGTGTGTGTTCTCGCCAGGTGGATATGGAGAAGCCGTCGTCCTCGGGCAAAGACTGCCCAGACTACGTCAGGCTGTACGACGGGAACTCCACAGCCGCCACGCCGCTGTCGTCTGCTGTCTGTGACTCTGTAAGGACGGAATCATTTATTCTAAAGGCCCCACTGCAAAGCAGTGCTTAATCACTGAGTGGGCCACCCTGGCTAAAGAAAACAGGAAAAAAGACATTACAGTCAATATTGCTACCATGCCTTCCTCCTTTTTCCTTAACTTCATCGCTTATTCAGTCCTTCGGGTGTACTAAAATCTCCGCATGACAGTAGCGTCAAGATATGTCTGTTGTCTATCAAAAACCTTGCTTTATCATCCAGAACCATGCTCGGGCATAGTCCGTGCATGGACCAAATTTATGTTCTTGGATACGCGAAGACTATCCAGAACCGTGCTTGATCTTAATCCTAACCTATACATGTAGGCATAGAACTAGATAGGCATGATTCTGGATACAATCTCCTTCTTGCAAATAATTGTGAACATTCGATATCATAGTAAAGTAGCATGTACGTATTTGCTGTGGATCTGGATGTTTGAAATGACCGTGGATGTTGTTTTCTGTGACGTCGCAGGCCAAAGCTGATGAGAGCGTGATCTCCAGAACTAACGCTGTGACGATAGAGTTCAGCTCCGACAACAGGACCACCACCAACATGGGCGTCCAGCTCCTATACTCCACATTCTACAGGCCCACCAACGTCAACAGTAAGTTTCCTTTGTTCCGCATAACCCGTCAACCACCTCAACAAGGTGTAACACGCCAGTTTTTGTATGTTTAGAGTTAAAACTTTTGTACCAACACAAGAGAAATTGTTTTCGCCTAGAGCTTTCGACCAGTACCTCTGGTCTTCTTCAGTAGATTAACCCAGTGAGACTTGTCACGTGGCTTCTCTGAAGTTGGAACAAAATTTTAAACTCTAAACATGTAACTACCAACACAGATGAACTTTCATGATAGTACCAGATGTTAAGCACAAACTGCGTAAGACAAACTGCTAGGTTTGATTCACTCACATAGATGGGCACCTACTCTTTTTGACAAACGAGGTGGGATTTTTAACATAGTCGTTGTGTGTCTAATAGTAAGAGCCTCAGATAGCAAATATCGAATCAAGTAGCCCATACCCTAGCTTCAATCCATTATGTCGTCATCACATAGCATGCGTATAATTCGATACAAAGCGAACTAGTCGGTGCACAAAGGGAGTGGTGGTAATGTGCGTCTGTAAAAACTAATGGCGTGAAAACCATGGCGCACCGGAGTCGTGCAATTACGCCCTCTCCAAAAACATATTGCGATGTATCGACTTCTTCTATGTTCGTCATTTGGTCTCCACCCAGGCAGAAAAGTCGGCACGGTGCCGACAACCTGCTCTAATCAGCAAATCCATACCTGCTATTTGTGTTGATTTTATCGTTGTTTTTGTTCTAGATTAAAAGGAATTGCGTCATCATCAGTCATTCGTGCGATATCGATCGCGATTCGCTGCCTGTCCCTGATGAAACAATACCGATACCTTGTCGTAATCAGACAAAGGGACCAGATTTGTACGTTAAATATCATGTAGATAAAAGCTGCAGCGGCAAAAAGTTGTGTGATGTAGCCGCCTTGGGACCAGTTTTACGTTTAAGTTCAAGCTGGGTAATACCAGATTCATAGGTTTGATGCACATTCACCGAGAAAGACCCCTACTCTTATTGATAACGGTGACCATCGTCTTTCCCGTCGGAAAGAACCTTCCTAACCTATTTATAGTTATGCACCTGGAGAAATAAGTGTAAAGTGCCTGTCTCAAGGGCAAAACCTGCTTAGGCTCCGAATCATGAGATTCTAAGTCAATGCCACAAGGCCACCATCCACACCGCACTGTTTGAAGTATCTTTGCCCTGATGTTCCCCAGAAACATGTTCGGGAAGTGACTTCCAGTGCGACAGCGGGGACTGCATCTCAAAAGGCCTGGTGTGCGACTTCCAAGTCCACTGCGCCGACAGGTCAGATGAAAGCAGCAAAAAGGGATCCTCGTCCAACTGCATAGGTAAGCTGTCGGTTCAACTGCTTTGAAATCTTGGAAACCAGCTTGCCGCATACGATGTTAATCGTAATGATAGAGACAATTACAAGATCTATGAACCCCCCTCCCCACCTAATAATAAAAACATTTTCTGTTGCACAATATGTTACCTGTATTCAAATGAAAATGATCGTAGTCGGCATTTTCTTTCGACATGGCCTCCTAACTTCATTACACCCCCACCCACCTAATGATCAAACATATTCAGTTGCACAAAATGTTTCTTGTAATCATTTCTTGCTAAGAAATAGATTGCTAACTAAATGAGAATGTTCGTAGTCGCCATTTTCTTTTGACATGGCCTCCTTACTTCCTCCTCCTCCAACCTAATGATGAAAAAAAATTTCAGTTGCACAAAGTGTTTCTTGTAATCATTTCTTGCTAGCAAATAGCTTGCTAACCAAATGAGAATGTTCGTAGTCGCCATTTTCTTGCCTCCTTACTTCCTCTGTTGACGCATGCGTAACGTGACGTAAAATGATCGCTCAGTTTGGCAATTACATCAGCGCCTTCCCGGTCCCATAATTCAGCAGTCACAACAACCGCCGTGGGAACGATGTGTGCCCGGTCGATGGGAGCGCCATTGACTTCATCACGGGGTTTGGTGTAGACTATCGACCGTGTGCCGCGACTACATTCTGCCATGTACACCCTTAATGTGCCCGTCATTTATCTTATTACAGTTTTTTGTGTGTGTGGCGGTCTTAACACGTTGTCGTCACAGAATTGGTGGTTGTGTGTCTCCCTTGTGTTTGTCTCCCTTATTTTACTCGTGCAATAAAGGGATTACTAGCTATTTATTGCATTTTGTAATGACAGCCAAAGAGCCAAAGATACCTGACGCCAAAAAACTGATGGTGGTATTTCTGCCTATTTACTTATTATCATTTTTACTGTTTATTTTTTTTATCATGTTCTTGCAATCGGCCCTCGGGCATGAATTTGCAATAAACTTTCTATAATCAGTTTATAGACCGTTGCGCCACCATTAGCATTGACGCCTCTGTGTGTAAAACCTGTATGCTTTTATAGCATTGACATTGTTCTCTACCAGAAGTAGATTTTAAAAAATACAATACTGGACGTGAAGCGCCTGTTACAATAGTGTAAAGGATAATGTTCTAGACAAAAGGAGTACCTGCTAATTTCTGAACACTCAGAGAAGCAACAATACTAGTAATGAAATCAATCGGACATCGACCACCTACACACAGGCCATTAACGTTTTGACGAGCCAGAAACGAGCGAATGGCGGCACGGGATAGTGACTTGATTAGCGAGGATTCCAACATCTTGCAGTAATTGGAGCCGTTGGACCCATTTTGTCTGTCACCATATTCAATTTACTACGCGCTAATTACGTCACCGATACATTATGACTCATGTCTATCAGGCGACTCAATGATATTAGCGGGCCATAAAATCTGTCCACAGCCTGTAAATGGCGTGAAATGCTGTAAAAGTCTGATATTCAGTAGATGGCACTCCGGTTCAAATCTTGTTAGGAAGTTATTACACTTGGAATAGTGGATCTACCATTACCAACTGAGGTAGCTATAGAAAGTCCCGCCAATAGCAAATTTGAAACTACTTAATTATTGATCTTTCTAATCATACATGTTGTTCTCGTTAACCTTCGCAGAAGAAAAACATATTGTTTTGCTCTGTTTCCTCTTCTTCTCCAAACAAATAAGGCCAATTACCTGAACCAGACGTATGTCACCTTGGTAACTAGTGTTGGATTACGTCATGATGCAGTTTTATAGCAGGAGGGATTTAGACTCCTGTCACCATAGATGAATATGTTTGAGTAAAATTAACAGAGCAGACCACATGCGAAGGTAAACATAATGCATTTGCTTTTCAAATGTTACCTTTCTAGTGATGATAATAATAAACTTTCTCTTACTTGGTGGATTATAGTGAATATGTCGATGCACATGTTGTATAATCTGTTCCAGCTCTTGGCGTGTTTGAAGACTTCGTGAAGACCTTCCTGAACCTGGGCCTGGCCGCCGTCATCGGCATCATCGTGGCCGTGGCGGTGGTGCTCATCATCATCATCATCGTCTGCTGCATCTGCTGTTGCAAGCTATGCAAGAAGTCAGACAACACGGCCGTCTAGGGATGACGTCATCGCCAACAGGGCGGCGCCATGATCTCTGTGCATGAAACATGAGAAACAAAAAAATTCATTTCCACATTCCAACTAATAAACTAGTTCTGAGAACATTTTTATTAGTTCACATACATTTATTGAGTATTAGACAAGAAGCACAGTTGCTTATATGACGCCTTCTACTGAAAACATAAAACGAGAGTGAAACACAATGACAAAATACATAATTGCAAAGTGGGTAAAAGAAAAATAAGTATAAACAAGTTGGTGATCTATCAATTACGAGAATCTACCTGTACAGTAAATGAGAACATATACTACTCGCACTCTGGTAGGGTAATGTCGCTGAAAATAGCTTAAGCCGCAGTCTTAACTTTTTCCCCTAGAATTGAATGAAGACATGCACTGAGATCACGGCGCTTGTCAGTATTCCACGTCATGGTAGTTTGCATTGCGCAGGTGTTTGTGTTCGTGTGGAATTTCGATAGACTATGGTGCTGTATACCTCCAGGACTAAAGGTGTCTTTTCTCCAACCTGACACCGTTTCCAGTAGGCTCCAGGGGCGTCATTCACACCAAAGTGGATGCAAATGGGACATGAAACATTTTCTTTGTGTTGTCAACCAATGTCGCCGACCAACAACAACTACAGAAACTCACCCTTACGAGCATAAGAGAGGAAGAAGTTTTTGGACATACGTCATCTTGAATCTTGAACATGGTCCGTCCAGAAAAACCTTCAGTTGTGTGAGATTAAAAGATTAAAATGGTGGGAGATCCAACACATTTCTCACCTAACACCTCGAGAACATCGTGAGGGGGGGGGGCAAAAGACATCTTTTAGTCCTGCTTTTAGACTCGGAAGTGGAAATAGCAGTGCATGCTTCAAAAATTGTTGAATAAAAAGCGAAGTATCTATATACTGTCTATGAAGCTGGTATGAGGAGAGTGATTTTGGCTGTTTTCTACATTTTTCTGTATTTGACTACGTGAGTGCTGAGCTTGAGCACCAGATTACACGTATTGATGTGAAGAATTTTGTACGTATCGATATTGCGTGACGTGGTATCGGTATATTTTCGGTGCTGTTGTCAAATAATGAAGGCAGCTTTCTACATGTGATCGCAGCCTGAGTTTGACATGATGGACAACACACAGGACACTTCTTTCTAGCCAGTCTTGATTGACTATTGAAGAATCTCGAGGCAAAAGTTACTGCCAATTGAATTAAATCCTTAATAACACAGTATAGAAAAGAAAGATTATATTGATACAGTTGTAGATAATTACCTGTAGATGTGGCCTAATGGGCCACTGCATGGAATAAAACGTTAGACTAAGTCCAAAATTTGAATTGATTAGAGATCACATTATACATTCCCGTAAAAAATAGAAGAACTTTTCGTATGTCACCTCTACATTCAGAGGAGTTGATCAAATGTTTTCAATCAAGGCTGACGATACCAGATACTACCGTTATTCCGCTGGAAAAAATGTATATCTCAAGAAATCAGCAGATTATTGTTAGATGGTCTTGATGTCTATTGTCTCTACGGGGTGTAGCGCACGTGCGGCAAACTGCTAGTGAATGTGTACATATACGAAGACGTTTTAACTGACACTAAGGTAAGAAGAAGAAGAAGACATCTCCTTTGAACATCTTTATATGGAGTATGAAGAACTCACATGCCGATATAATGATACACAGTTCTAATACGTGTTGTAAGATAGAAATCAGCGTTTCTTTACTTAATGTACAGTGTCACCTGTGGTGAAAGAATGTCTCTCAATATCAGCAAATTGGAAAATGGTATGCTCATTTTGAATGTCACATGATGTGTGAAGTATAAGGATTTTGTCAATGCAGCTTGTAAGCGATGCCTTTTACCCCGCACTTTAAGGTCTTTTAGTGAGCGCGAAGCACGACTGTGATCAAATTGTAGCTTTAAATATTGATAGTCTATAGCAAATGTTCTACAAAACCTCTGTAATGTGCTTCGATATAGTGTAAAAGATAAACACGTTCACAATGATTACATTTAGTTAGGGCTTACTGGATAGGATAATTTTGGCCAATTGCAAAATGTTTCTTTCATTTTATGGTGCAAAATCATTTGATATTAACTTAGACAAGACAAGATAGATAAAATTCCCTACATGGAATCTAATAGTATCTGCATTGCATTTTGTTATTGTAGTGTGTACATTAAAACAAGTTCAAACTGTAATTGTATGCAGGTATGGGCCGTGTCAATGTAATTCCCTTGACACCTTTGGTGTGATGTTTTCCATGGTGCATATTGTATTGACTTTTCAATGGAATAAATCGTGTCTAGGTATACAACAGTCTGATTTGTTTAGAGATCTATGACACATTGTAGGTGCTACACATTTTATTCCACAAATGTAGTGGTAGTAACACTAGTTGTCAGCGCGATTCTAATAAGACAGTTCCGCAACTCCAGAACATACCAATGGTCGTGTGATCGGATTCTACACACAGAATTGATATGTCGTTGCAGAATGCCCGTTTACTTAGGAAAATGAATGAACGTGCAAAAGCGTGCATTTTATCCCATTGATGGCGTGCAATAGAATATTTTTTGCAGTAAACCATCAATCTTCAGGTTGGAAGAAAGCAGTTAGGTTTGTTACAAAAGCTTGACGACTTTTTCGGTGTTGAGATTGTGGAGCTTCTTGTCGGTCCCGTAGGCGAAGTGCTGACTCATGTCGGGGGAATACTTGCTGGCGGGCGGAGTTCGGCCCAGGGACTCGGCCAGGGTCCGGGTGAAGTGCGAGGCGTTCCCACAGCACAGCCCCACGTACTGCAGCCCCAACTCCCGGCAGCGCTGGCCGAACTCTGCGATCATGGTGCGGCTGCACAGGAACGCGTCAAGGTCCACGGGAAAGGCTCGGGAACCTGTCCAAAGGGGAGGACAAATAAACGTGAAACATGCAGAATGACACCATCAGGTATTGGGCAGAGTAAGAATCAAACGTCCAAAAGCTATATGGGGTGACTGGGTCGGTCACAATATAGGAATGTACATGTAGGGCTGGACATCTGCCGAGTCTGGTTCAGTCTGTGTGACATTGTAGTACAGCATTCAGTCCTGCAGATTAGTTTTCCTATCATACATGTACGTAGAACAAAAGAAATTACTATACATCGAAAATAGCAAATTCAGATTTGCTATCAAAACATACCAATGCAAGTTGGCAAACCTTTGTAGTTAGTGAAGGACTGCATGGTCGGGTGTTCTTCGTCAGTCCGGTAAAGCACAGGCAGAGCGGCGACCGGTACCTGTAGACACAAACAAGATCACATCATGGATCAGTTAGCCTTAATCTTACCACATAATACAGGGAAAAATCAAGCAACTGGATAAATTTTCTGAAGATACAGACGCTTCAATCATCATCCACTTTCATTTTACGTAAATAAGTTACTGATGATGTGTGATTTTCATCAACGTAAGTAACGATATAGTTTAAGTAAAGAATCATACCCATAGAGTGCAGAGGACCTCAAAGTGTTTACCTTGATTTGTCCCTTGACTTTCTCCACCAGTGGAAGAGTAGTAAAAGGTCCCCGGGCGCAGTTGAACCCCACCACGGCAGCGCCGGCCTTCTCCAACGCCTTCATGGCATCGACTATGGAGTTCCCGTCCGCCACATGGTCTGCGTCCCGGTGTATCACCATGGTCACCACCGCTGGAAGCCCTTCAAGAGATGACCGTAAAGATGATAGATGTAAAAACACCTATTATAACCACTAGTCCCTACTAGTAAATTCCTAATGAGCCTAATTTTTGCCTAATTACAGGCCAGATTTAACATCAGGATCTCTTTAAAACAAGTGGATATTCTGATAAACGTTTCGATGGAGATGGAGAGCAGTTTAATCGTTCCACAAATTTTAGATAATTTCATCCAAAAGTTGATAATCCCAACACTAGTGCTTTTCAGAAGTTATCACCATCACCACAATCGGAAACGTACCCTTTCCGTACTCTTTGATACACTCCAGGGCTAGCATGGCTTCTCCGAGAAATCCGTAGGTCTCTCCAACAATGAAGTCTGCGCCCTCTTCCACAGCCCACTCTATCTGTTCCTGTGGTCAAGAGTATTACAAAAGTATAGTACAAAGGATTATCGTCCGGTTTGTTTCTGACAGCAGCTTTTATCTTTGAAAAGAGGCCATAGAAGAATGGAAGACGAAGACATGATCAACACGATATCCTCTGACTCATACGTCTTCCAGAAAAGCTTCACATCTAAAGTAATGATCATACATCTACACAGTGTACCTTGAAAATCTGACGACTTTGTTCGTGCGTTTCTGGCTTGTCCGGATCGTAGCAGGTGGTGTTGCTGATGTTTCCCGCCATCAGTGTGCCGGTCTCGTCTGCCACCTCCCGGGCCAGCTTCAGGGCGGTCCGGTTCATGGTCTCCAGGTCAGCCTCCCGTCCGATAACCCGCAGCTTCTCACGGTGTACATAGTACTAGAAGCAAAATAAAAGTAGGGTCCAGATAAAGGAACGGATCCTCCTAGTACAGGACATCCATCTAGATATCACCATGTCGCGATGATTCAAGGCAGCTGAGCACATGTATAATAAATAGCTTCTTTGTAGCTTTCAAAGACTTGTCTTGGTTGTGGATTGTTTTTTTCCAGCAATTGTACACTTTTTACTTGAAATTCAAAATACTTGGTGAATTAATATATAAGCGGAAGAGGTTGCTTAGTGCTCAGAATAGAATGAATGCCAGAACTACATCACTATCACCAATTGTACTATTTTACTTGACATTCTGAAAATGTGCTGTTAGGGAAGCTTTTTTCCATAATTGCGCAATTTTTGCTTGAATTGACTGGAAGAAATTGCTTAGTGCAGAATACCGTGAATGCCAGCACTACGTCACTTCCGGCGTGTACAAACTCCCGGTACATCCCCTTCACCAGCTCAGGATGTTCCACCACCACTTCCGGTACGAACGCTCCGGCCTTCAGGTAACCGCGTCGCTCGAACTCGAACAGATATCCCTCCGCGCAGATGACGGTCTCGCCAGCCTTCAAACGTTCAAGCAAACCTGAGCCAAATGAATACAAATGTTAACTTACCAATCAAGTACATAGTGTACATAGTGGCATTTGTGCAATCTTGAAATTATTTATACCTATACAAAAAATCTTCATGTCTTTGCCAATATATTGTTTTAACTTAAAAGTAATTTTTATAAAATAGAAATGAATATCTGTGTCACACGCTCACTATCTAGCTGTTCACCGTCTTGGTCATAGAGTATGTAGATAATAGCAGATCACTTTGAGGCTAAGATTGTTTTTAAGCAGTACCAACTTTAACATTGTAGACTTTGTACTCGGAGCACTCGTTAAGGTCAGCAGTAAACTCTTGAACGGAGAAATCGCATCTCGTACCAGGCACGACGTCAGATATGGATATCTAACACCGTGCCTGGTACGAGTTGCGGAGACCAAAGGTTCTCTCTGCAGCAGGGTTACATGTTTCGTGTCTCGTGTTCCCCGTCTACATTTGTTTGAATCACGCGGAGCCCTGAGTATGTTTATTCATGTAAATACCTACTTTGAGCGACGTGTTCCGAGAGTGTAGTCAACGTTAATCCTGGGTCATGCATAGTAACATTAGCGTGTCTTAATGTAAAACGGACACAAAACGTACTTGTATATGTTCGACAATGTCTTCAGCAGTAGCCTGGGTTCCAAACCCATAGCACACTAGACACAAAGTATCTCAGTGACCCTGGCTCACTGAGATACTTTGTGTCCAGTATGCTATGGGTCTGGAATCCAGGCTACTTCAGCAGCCACTTTGGCCTAAGACACGAGAAAACGATATTTTCTATTTTAAAAAATACACTCTGAAAAAAAAAGGTGATACCGTTTCAGGTCAAGGCCAGGCTAACATGGAATTTGCCTAATATCTACTGACTTACCTCGTGGTTTCGCCGCCATTTCTAAAGATGTTAGTTGTAGGGCCTCAACTTCAACCTGTTCGGTGCAACAATTCTGTACGTGAAATGGTGCGATGACCCATGACCTACGCTAAGTTAACTTCAGGCTTTCTCATTTCTAAGTTCAGGGGTGGCAAGTGCTTTTCCTTTCTACGTGTAAAACTCTAATCCCTCCCCGAACCGTATACAGCTAGCCATACACATACAGATTTATGTTTTTGAACTCTGGGTTTCTAAAGGCTAAGCATACTCTTCAATTTTTATCCCCCCCCCCTTTTTTTAGTTAATTCTGCCCCGCCCCCAGATCGTTTCAGGTGCGTTACCTTTGGATGAACTTTCACCGTTAGACTTAGGTCAGCTGTGAATGAGCAGTACTCTGGAGAGGGGCTAAAATTTATTATCCGTAATGATTAATCAGATAATTGTGACTGTACAGGTTATTCGTTGTTTGGCTTGTTTGTTTGTTTGTCTGTCTGTTTGTTTGTTTGTTTGTTTGTTTGTTTTGATACCTTTATTTTTCAGTAATAGCGTATGAGGGACAGATATAGCTGACACAAAGATAAGCATGGATACATGGATATAACTACATATTTTATGAGGAACTGCTTTCATTCTTCCCGTCAAATGATAAAACTTTCATCACATATACATGCAGAGCCTGACCGAGAGCAGTAGTAGTAAAGCTGTACTTCAGAGACTCTAGGCAATCAGTTTACGGTTACAAGAGCTTGACGACTTTCTCTGTGTTGAGATTGTGGAGCTTCTTGTCGGTCCCGTAGGCGAAGTGCTGACTCATGTCGGGGGAATACTTGCTGGCGGGCGGAGTTCGGCCCAGGGACTCGGCCAGGGTCCGGGTGAAGTGCGAGGCGTTCCCACAGCACAGCCCCACGTACTGCAGCCCCAGCTCCCGGCAGCGCTGGCCGAACTCTGCGATCATGGTGCGGCTGCACAGGAACGCGTCAAGGTCCACCGGAAAGGCTCGGGAACCTAGGAAAGGCATACAATTAGAATAGTACATCAAAACAGGCGCCGGCAGAACGATATCAGAACGACCTGTCGTCTACCCAATATCAATAGCATCGGAGTTGTTATTAGCAAGTAGCTCCTAGTTTTAAACGTGATATTATCAGATGTCATTGTTTTTTCTAACACGGTACTGTCACGAGTTGACTAACCTTTGTAGTTAGTGAAGGACTGCATGGTCGGGTACTGTTCATCAGTCCGGTACAGCACAGGCAGAGCGGCAATCGGCACCTGTCAGCACAACACAAGGACATCAGGCCATGATATCCATCCTTTAATGCCAACCTGCCTGCTGAAGCTACTACGGTAACGTTACTAAGATAAGATATTTCCACAGTTTTCGGCTAAATGGTGATAGCCAGAGGCGTAGGTAGCCTACAGAGTGCATACCTTGACTTGTCCCTTGACTTTCTCCACCAGTGGAAGAGTAGTAAAAGGTCCCCGGGCGCAGTTGAACCCCACCACGGCAGCGCCGGCCTTCTCCAACGCCTTCATGGCGTCCGCTATGGAGTGCCCGTCCGCCATATGTTCCGAGTCCCGGTGTACGGAAACGGTCACCACGGCTGGGAGTCCTTCGAAATAAAATAGCAACTCTCGCTATCACCACGTGAAAGAAACTATAAAAGCGTTCGCACAACACTTTAGTCAACATTCAGTAGAGTAAAGTCACAGGCCAATATTCCAAATTTGTACCCTCATTGAAGTAAATTGTACCCTCTTTGAAGATAGATGAGTAGCGAGGGCAATATTTTCACAACGCCGTGGCGGTAGGTGTTTGAGTACAGTTTAACCTCATTGTAATAAGAAATTTACCTTTTCCATACTCTTTTATACAGTCCAAAGCCAGCAAAGCTTCCCCCAGCATAGAGTAGGTCTCCCCTACTATGAAGTCTGCACCTTCCTCCACAGCCCATTCTATCTGTTCCTGTGGATTCGACAGATAGATGCCAAAACGTAAGTTGCCTCTTCGTGGCAATGATAGTGAAAACGCTATCATTATTACCAAAGAGCTTTGCGGCAATTCAATCTCGGTCTACCTTGAAAATTTGCCGACATTCGTCGAGCGTTTCGGGCTTGTCCGGATCGTAGCAGGTGGTGTTGCTGATGTTTCCCGCCATCAGTGTGCCGGTCTCGTCTGCCACCTCCCGGGCCAGCTTCAGGGCGGTCCGGTTCATGGTCTCCAGGTCAGCCTCCCGTCCGATAACCCGCAGCTTCTCACGGTGTCCGTAGTACTAAAAGAAAAATAAAGCTGGATTGAGAGAATGGAATGGATCCGGATAGTACAAGACATCCATCTAGATGCCACCATGTCGCGATAAATCAATGCAGCTGAGAATGCTTTCAAAAACTGTTTGAAATTCGTAACTTCGTAATTTTTGCTTGACTTGAATGGAAAAGAATGCTCAGTGCGGAATACGATTGTTTCCACTTTACCGTGAATGCCAACACTACGTCACTTCCGGCGTGTACAAACTCCCGGTACATCCCCTTCACCAGCTCCGGATGTTCCACCACCACTTCCGGTACGAATGCTCCGGCCTTCAGGTAACCACGTCGCTCGAACTCGAACAGATATCCCTCCGCGCAGATGACGGTCTCGCCAGCCTTTAGACGCTCAAGCAAACCTGTACCACAGGGCAAATGGCACAGGTTTTATTCACCGATTACATACTTAGTGAACGTTCATGCAGTGGCTTTTGAAACTTTTATACATCCACCTTCGAATAGTTTTGCAAATAGCTTTACTTGCATTTCACGCTTGATGAAAGCAAAGAAACTTTGAGTAAGTTCGTGACTTATTTCAATTTCACCCTGAGAAAAGTTCCCTGTGGTTAGTGGTAGTGTCGGTACGTATCATTGTTTGACTGGACTCTGTTCATGTTGACCCATGTCCCCGCCTACTGTACGTAACTTGTGCTGATTGTACTTTGTGATCCCTCACGGTGGCAGGTATGTGGGTCAAGCTTAGGTGACTCCATGGCATGGGGAGTTTTCCTGGTATAACCAACGCACAAAACAGTGCATCTGCGTCCCTGAATACTTTCATCAGGTTGGTAAGTCACTGAGTACAGAGACTTTTTTTCACAACCAAGTCTTCTATTCTGCCGACGTTTCGGTGACCGTCTGTCACCTTCCTCAGAATTACCGTCGGATGAATAAAAGACTTGGCTGTGAAAAAAAAGAGTCTCTTTACTCAGTGCATCTGCGTTCTTCAAAAATGTTGTGGGAAGTTAGCCTCACATCAGACACGGGAATATCATGAAACAAACACGGTCGCTTTTGTCAGGTCAAGGTTTTTGGAAAAAAAGACCTTTTGACATCTGTCATGTCACATCTCACACAAGTAATTTACAAATTACAGTACCAAGGAAAGTTCTTACCACGTGGTTTCGCCGCCATTTTAGAAGAGTTGGTTATACGTAGAGCTTTAACTGCAACCTGTTGTGTACTATCAAGTCTCTGTGCAAATGGTGAGATGATTGGGCTATTCCATTCATGAATTTAGGGGAGGCTACTCGTCGGCTATATTATTCGCTGTTCCCAGTCTACTTCATACATCTTATTCAATACTTACGTCTTCCAAAACGTTAACACACAGTCATTCTAGCGGCAAATTAGACCTCGACAACTTCAATATTGCCATCGAAGACCAGCCCCCATTTTCGTTAGAACCCCCTCTAGCGTTTCAGCGACTCTACTTTTAATAGGTCACTAACCTAGAGACCGAAACAATGTTTGTGATGTAATAACTACCTCGGTCACCAACCTAGGAAGAGAAAAAAAATGCGTGGGATGTAATGTTTATGTAAGCAACGTTACATCATTCCAACTTAAAGGAGTACTAACCTCTAGAAGAAAGTGC